GGATACTGTTAGGAGCTCATTTCTTGCCAATGAATCATGTGTCCTCAGGCTCTTATGTGTTACTTACACTGCAGCTTACCTTTAATTATTCACATAAATCTCAGCATCAATGAAAGATGAAAAATAAATTCCATCTTTGTTTTTCATGCTCTAAAAGTCATAAAGAACTGTACTTCAGATGTTTTGAAACAAGTTCAGTGAAAAGGTGAACGGGTTAGGGATGCACGGATATGAAAATTTCAGCCCATATCGACATCCGATATAATTATTGCTGTTATGGCCGATGACCGATATTTACTGATATTACGCAAACACACAAAATATATTATACACATACACACAAACACACTTGGGTCTTTTTTTGATTCCGTAAATAAACAACCAGACCTCTGACATGGCTCTACTTCAGTTATTCCTGGTTACACAGCATCAATATCACTATTATGATCAAACAGATGACGCTCAACCAACCAGCTCCCCTCCCAAGACAGAAACACAAAGATAAAAGGTAGGAAATCAATATCGGACATTAATATCGGCTCAGTTTTACATATCGGACCGATACGATATTCTAAAAAATTGCCAATATCGGCCGATACTGATATCAGTACCGATATATCGTGCATCCCTAGAATGGGTAATATCTCACCTGTTGTAAATAGATCTTTAACGACCTAAGTTAAGATATTAAAAATATTATACAATATTTTTCTTCTTTCTGCTCCCCATTCTTTCAATAATTTCTTTTACTTTTATTGTTGTTTTTAAAATAAATACGTTTGGAGAAACAGTTTTATTCTGACTGTGCTGATGAGCTAATGACTAGTCCGAGTAGGGTCAAGACCAAAGTATATTGTTGATGTCTCAAATGACTCCAATCTCAGAAATTAGTACATAATTAGTGTAGCAGTTCATGCTAGCAGTGCTTTATAAACATTTACTTTTAGGTCAGTTCCTCATTACATGGTTGTTTACATTTATACTTAGCACAAGAAGTAAGGAATTTATTGTTTGGCAGAATATTTATTTGTAGTAACAATGCTTCTTTGGCAATTCGTCCTATGATTGGCAGCACCTGGGAATCCCAGAAGCTCAAAACAAGAGTCAATGGCAACAGAAAAATAAGCTGTTTGACAAAGAATATTTGACAAAATTTTCATGTTTGCAACCCACACACTCAGCTCTACTGCTCATCCCACAAATGCATGTTCCTTACAAATTTGGCACCATTTAAAAAGAAAATTAACAGGCTTTCCAACGGAGTAAGATTTATTGCCAAGACGCATTGTTACAACAAAGAAATAATCTACCAAACCAAACACTGTTTTCCTTACTTTCTGTGCTAAGTTTAGATCTATAGTTCGTAAAGGAAGGTTCTCAAACATTTCACTTGCTGTTTTTGCAATATGTATTATTAGCACCAGCTAGCTCTAGCACTTTGTGTGCAGCCTTTTTTTAAATTCCAAATAAAATATCTAAATGTTTCTGTTTTATTACCCATGTAAAAAGTGAAAAATGTAAATGTGTATATGCCCCCCCTGTCATGGGTGCACATAGGCTGTGTTCAGGGGCTGCGTACTCCTAAGGCTGAATTTGTCGGCTGCTTGCGTCACAGCGCCGCGCCGGAGGCTGTCCAAATTCGAAGACTCCTCCAATGCAGCCAACAAATACGTCCTCCCTTTGCCCCGATTTGGGGGACAGGTCCGATGGATCCTTCTCAGCCCACCCACCATATCCCATAATGCATTGTGGGCTGCCTGGAGATTTGTTCCCGCTCGTAATGGCGGACAAATCGAGAGGAATGATTACAGTTTTCAATAATAACCTGGTGGTATAAAAATTGAAAGTTTCAAGCGGTTGTGTTATTGCTTTTGTCATTTAGACATGTTTATTATTCTTGTCAGAAATCAAATGAGCTGGTATATAGAAATAAACGTGCACGTACGGCAAGTCCCTTAGTTCTTCAAATATTGCCTTTAGGCTAATACTAATATATTGATACTTTGCTAATTTTGACCTGTTTTTGCTTCTATTTATCATTGTCATGGTTCAGGGTGACAGGACATAGCCGGGGTATGGGCCGGAATAAAGCAGAGCATTAGACCGTGAAAATTCACAGCCACTTTTTTCCAGTCTTTGCGGTTGACCAAGGTCCAACTAAGGACGCAGTGGCCACCTAGACCAGGTAGACCGGGTCCTTTGGAGGGCCCAGCCTCTGAATTTGGAAAGAGCCATAGAGTGATCAGTATTAAATGGACACCATTGATGGCCACCACAGCCAATTGACCTCAGAAAACACACAAGTAGCTAAAATTTATCCAGTTTTACAGATTTTGTGCTAATATTTGATGTGGCATTATCTGAGTCAGTCCCAACACATGCTTTGAGCACAGCATATTATGCATTATCTTTGCTTAAAACCACTGTATTAACTATTTGAATCAACACTGCTTGTCTGTTAACAAAATATCCCAAAAACTATTGAGGAGATTTTATTGAAACTTTCAGAAAGTAATAATAAATTGTATATCTACAAATCATTAAGATTTGGTGTCAGCTCAGTTCAAGATGGCAAACATCAAATTAATCTTAACCTCCACAAACACGTCTACAACTCAGTAAAATGTACTGATATTGAACTAAAGTTTGATGTGGTAGTAGCTGAAATTAAGAACACATACTTCTAGTTCCAATAGATCAGGCAAGTTATTGTAATATTTCATACATAATGCTCTTTGTAAGGTCTGACTCAAAATGTCTATGTAAAACTCTACCATCAAAGAAGATGAGCTGCATGAATTTCTTCAAGTAAAGGCTTTATGTGAGATTGAATTTGCATGAATCACTGTTGTTTTTTGAAATTAGAGTTCCTTTAAAATTATTGGAACTCTAGCTGTTTACTCGTTAATCTGGTCAGAATGAAACTGTACTTCTCCAGGCTGGGGGTGTTCATTGAAACCCTTTTCCACACTTCAAAAGTCCTTTGTTAAAATCTCAATTCTGGCCTGTAAATAGCACAATGAATGGAAATCTTTCCAACCATTTGCTTTGTTTTGCCACAAGCAGGAAGAAAGTCAATCAGAGCCATTACTATGTGTACCCATGTCCTCGAACCTTAGTCTCAATTTCACTTAGAGATGAAACGTTAAAATGTAACTTGACATCAGTGGCATCCTATGAATTATTGATGCAAACGTTTTTTTTTTCTTCACATTGTTCCATTCAGCTGCTTCCAGCAGAAACAAGAGGTTTTTTATTTTTTATTTTGTAGAAACATTAAACTTTTGGCCTATTTGAAACTACTTTAAAAAATAACCTGATTTAGGTCAGTTTTCAGAAACAAAACAAAAGGCTTTTTCTTTGTCACTTGGAACATTTTAGAAAGGTAGTACATGCTGTCTTCTGGCCATCAGTCCGTGCACATCTTTCCCCTCAGAAAGGCACGAAGTGGTTGTGACAGGAATGCAAAGTAGAGAGCCCTGGGTTCTGAATACAGCTGTACTGTAATGCATCTTAGTTAATCATCCACACAACCACATCTGTTCAGGGTGAAGACGGTGTTTGAAGGTGGTTTTTGTTCAAACACTGATCAGGATGAGCAATGGAGACATTTAGATTTGCCAGAATTGTGAGGATTAAGCTGGACAGTGGTCACAAATTTAATTGTAAACAGTTATTTTGATTTAACAGAGTTTGAAGATTTATCCAGAACAAAATGACTTGTTCAGAAATTCACAACAAATACAGTTCTACTTACCAAATAATTAAGACCAGCACAGCTCTCTGATTGATTACACAAACTACACTTTCTAATGTGTTTGTGGTGAGTCAAAAGAAYTTTGTTTTAACCACACGTTTCTATCATCATTCTTCATTTTGTTTCAAATGCTTTTACTGGAAATGAGTGCACAAAGATCAAAGTGTTCACATACAGCCTGTTCTTTCAGTGGGATGACAAAGCAAAAGAACTATTAGCTAACTTAGCTTAGCATAAATGAAAAGAAAGAGGAAACAAAATCTTGACTCGTTCTAAACGTTTTAGATATTAAAGCATATTTTTGCTTTTTTGAAATGTCAAAATTCCATTTGGTTTGTTTATTTTAAATCAAAACTATACTTATAAATCCACCTTACAAATTTACAAGTTACAGATCCCCTCTGGGGACATTGGACAAAAGAAATTTATTTCATGGCCATGCAATAACGCATGGCCAGGCAATAATTATGTCGTGAAAAATCAGTTTCCCGACACACACCTTAGGCGTTCACTGTCATCTCATCAATGGCCTACTATAAAAGATGAATCATTTACATGAAAGTACACCAAATAATAATCATAACCATATTAATAATAAGTGTGGGATAGGCTACCTCTGAACAGTTCAAAACAAAAACAACATATTCAAAATCTGACTCCAACAATGTCTGCATTATGCTGTACACACTATTCAAAATGATCTTGCAATAATAACACATGGCCACATCATAATAATTTGTGGCCACGTTTTATTATGGTGTGGCCACCAATGTCACCAGACAGGCATCATTAATGATATTTGCCAGGTGTTTTTTATGAGCAGGAGCAGTTAATTCCTGGATTTTTTCACAGWTTATTTGGGAAGCTCAAATATAATTTTTGTATTGTAAGGCCATGCCCCATCCAGTCCTTTTTCCACCCTGGCCCTGGTTGTGGACAGGGATCATTATACCGAAAGACATGCAATTCTTTATGTTATGTCGATTCATTTGCAATGGATGATGTGGATTTCATAGTACAGTACTTCTTTTCATTCTCTATATGATTCAAGACCAGCAGAAACAGAACGAGACAACATCAAATCGGCCTCAGCAATCTGACCTGAATAGAATCCTTTGTCTCTGGGTTCTAGAAATCAAGCTGGTAGTGGGCCATAAAAGCAACTAGAAATATGCAAAACCCAGACCGGGCCTGGCCGGGCCTTACAACGCAAAAATGTCATTAGTCATCAGGACAAGTAGCTGTCAAGTTAGATTTACTTAGATGGGGTACAGTATGAGCTAGCTAGCTCCACCCACATGTGTGGTTCAGGATCATGCTAGCTCACAAATCTCGCACTGATGATTTTTCTGAAATAACTTTGAATAAACAGTTGTCTTTTTTGACGATGTCCCATGTTAGGCTGATATATTAATAATTATTCTCTACTTTACTTTCACAGGTTTTGCTAGCTGGTGTTAAGGATGCTTTTGCTGCAACTTCAGACCTGGAGGTAACCCCTCACCACCTGTGCAGTCGCTCCTCTTTGGATCCTGGAGTGGAGATGATCCACTGGACCACAGAGTGGGGGACATGTGTCTGGCTCCAGACTCTGCTGGCCCTTGCCCAGGCCAACTGTCCCTCGCTGGCCCCCAGCCCAGTGAACTTCTCTGTGGTATACACCATGCATTTCTTCCAGGCACAAGGGCCCATCCAGAACATAGTGAACAACTCACTTTACCAGGAAGTGTATGTAGCTTCTCAGAATGTGATTGAAGCTGTCGGCAGGAGCTTGGAGAAAGTGTGGGAGCTCCGCACTGGGCCCGTGGGAAGCCCAAAGTGTCAAATCTGTGATCTGTGTGACACTGACAAGGATTACAACTTTTTAGAGGACACAAATAATCAAGTCTTGCTGTTGGATACTCTCTTTATGTATTTATATTCCTGTGGAAGTTCTCAGTACGGTGTATGTTATTTTCACCAGCTGAGCTCAGATGGAGAGCGTCCTTCTCATTCCAAGTGTTTGTTCAAAAAGCACGCTAACTCTGCCGCTTATTGTCCCGACTGTGTAGCTAGCCCTCTGGGTACCAAAGTGTCGATGGTAGAGGAGGGCCAGACAGTCTACTTCTTTGTTGCCTCTTCTGTCAACGACAGTGTAACCCAGCGTTATGGAAGGAAATCAATTTCAGTTCGCAGACCTCTGGGCACAGAGGATGGTTTCTACAGTGATGTGCGAGGCTTGACTGTCCTACCCAACCTGCGGAGGACGTACCACATTGAATATGTCTACAGCTTTTTCACTCAGGAGTTTGTCTACTTCCTTTCAGTCCAAAGAGAAAGCCCCGACCAGGACTCGTCACCATTTCAGACTCGTCTGGGACGTCTCCCACGGAGTGAGTGGGAGGTTAAAAGGTACCGTGAGTTGATCCTGGAGTGTCGCTTTGAACCAAAACGCAGGAGGAGGAACACGCGCAGCGAACCCTACAAGGATGTTGTGTACAACGTGGTCCAGGCAGCCTATTTTGGCAAAGCTGGCAGGGAGCTGGCAGAGGAGTTAGGGGCCGAGGAGGAGGATGACATCCTCTACGGGGTTTTCGCTGTTACACACGACAACGGGGTCACAGAGAACGACTCCGCTCTGTGTGCCTTCCCAATGGACAACGTGAATAAAGCAATCGTCGATGGGGTTGATGATTGCTGCGAGTCTGGACCAGAGCAGCTCTCCAGAGGTCTTTGTCATTTCCAGCCTTGTGAGAGTTGTCCGCATGAGGTGAGACCATCAGTTCACAAATACACTACAGATGCACCTGATGAAGAGAATAGTCAGTGCCCTTGAATGTGACTGATTTAGGGAGAGCTCATAAAGAGGAAAAATATGTAAAGAAAAGCTTTTAATTCAGTTTATTTAATTCCAGTTCACAACAAAAGTTATTTCAGGGCACTATTCAAATACATTCACATGCTTTATAAAATGTCACTTAATAAAAGTTAACCATCAACAGAAGCCAGCAGACTGTGAGCAGCATGTTGGTGACAGTGGAAAGGAACAACTTCCTTTTAACAGGAAGAACCCTCCAGCAGAACGGGGCTCAGGATGGGTGATCATCTGTCTTGACTAGTTGGGGTTTGAGGTCTTGTGTCTCAGAAATGCAACACAGCAGTTCAGATTTAGAGCTGACATCAAGCAGAATGATAATTTGGCTGAGGCCGAGTAAGAGTTCAGGTGGTTTGCTTGTTTTCTACATCTGTTGGGTAAATTTGTCTGTTTAAATTGTCCATTAAAAAAATAATGTCAACTTTATTTTTTTACTTACTATGTGATTTCTGTTCAAAGTGTTTTCAAAGGTTTTAGAATTTTATAGTCTGGCATCTAAACATTGCAATGGATTGGCAGAGAAAATGTGAGTTCATTTTTAGATCTCGTGCATATTTTTGAAGTATCCTGTTTTTCAGATTAAGTATTTTCTGCCAGAAATGGTGAGGGTTGGTATGTTGGGAGTTGTAGTAAGAGGTCCTGTTCTTTTTTTTACTAAATGTAAGCAGTTATCTGGGAATTTTTGTGAAATTTCTCTACTAATGTTGCACTTGCAGCAAATGTATGATAATTTGAGGGTTAAATATAATTACCGGTCTTTAAAAACTGGACTTAAATTAGGAAACCAAATACTTTCATGAACTTAATAAAATGTCTATTCTATGTTTATTCTAGCTTCTCATAATAAAGGAAACAGTGATTGAGACTGGAAGAGAAAATATTGTCACTGTTGGGCACAAACCTTTTATCTCCATTTGTCATCATTTTCTTAGTTTTAAAATAACCCCTTTGGTCACTCATATTTGTCTGTACTTCCATAAATGACCAATGAAAAAAGAAAATGTGATTTGATGTGCTTACGTCAATGATCTGGTGTTCATTCAATCAAGAATCAAAATTAATTTTTAAAGAAAGTTTTTTTTTATTTCTCGAAGTTTTATTTTTGGATATACTGTAAAAGATTTCATCCATCCATCCATCCATCCATCCATCCATNATCCATCCATCCATCCATCCATCCATCCATCCATCCATCCATCCATCCATCCATCCATCCATCCATCCATCCATCCATCCATCCATCCATCCATCCATTCATCCATCCATCCGTATGTCGGTCCAGTTCTGTTTTTGTGGTCGGGTCACAGAGGTCACATGTTTGGAAGGGAAACCCAGATTGACTCTCTTAAGGCCATTCTGGTCAGTCCTAAGGCATTCCCTGACTGATARAAGCTCATTTCAGTTGCTTGTACTTGGATTCCTACTATTTGGGCCATGATGCACATCACATCACAGGTTGAGGGGTGGAACTCAGAAGGACCAGTACAGTGGGGGTTTTGCTTTTTGACTCAGCTCCTTCGTCACAACGACAGACTTGGAGTGGTGTTCTCAATACAGCATGTGAGGCCCCAGTCTGTTAGTCCATCTCCTGCTGTCACTCCTGTCCAAGACCCACAGATACTTGAACTCCTCTGCTTGAGGTAAAGAACTCCTTCCATCCTATAGGGAGCTTTCCACAATATTCAGGTTGATCTCTGACCTCAGACATAAATGAGCTGGTTGCTTCACACTAAGCTATAATATTCTTACAATAATGTCCCTGTAAAACAGTAATGCAAACAGTAATGTCTTAGGCTGATAAAGTGTTGCATTTATTCTTTACTTTTGTAACATAATGTTTTGTTTATTTGTTGCTTAGATGTAATATAAAAATTAAGTTGAATTTATAATTAGACTTTTTTTTCTCTTCTCTTGGATTTAAATAATTTTAATAGTAATTTTTGCTGTGAGACACTAAGGTCACATCTACTCTGGTACAGGGCATCCAATGAAGTTAAACTAAATTTTAAATTTTGAATTTTCATAAATAAGTGCAATTAATAAAAGTAGGTCCTCTGGACGSATTCTTCTTTAATGAAACGTTTCGTCTCTCCTCCAAGAGACTTCGTCAGTCTGAGGAGTTTCAGGTGAACTCAGCCTTATAAGCACTGRCTCCACATGGTGGACAAACAGGTTTAATGATGAACATCAACACTGTGTGTACAAGCAAAAGAGGACCATCAGCCTAACAACAGATTGTCAGTAACCTGATCATCACCTGTTGTTCATAGAGGGTTTTGTGCACCAACCACCTGACTATCGTATCTGAAGTCTCTCTGAGGAGAGACGAATTGTTTCATTTAAGAAGAAACTATTCAGAGAACCTACTTATTACTATTATTTTTTCTACACTGTAAAAAATGAAATGTTGGATTTACTTAACCATGTTATGTGACCTGGTTCCACTTAACTGAGTTGAGTAAATTCAAAGCAATATACCAGTTTTTTAACCAAAGAACATGAGCATGTTGCTTTGAATTTACTCAACTCAGTTAAGTGGAACCAGGTAACATAACATGGTTAAGTAAATCCAACATTTCATTTTTAGAGTGTACCTGGATTACTGAGATGCATTAGTACATAAATGAGTGTAATTTCTTCTGTTTTAGAGCTTTGATCAAAGAGGACACCTCTACATATTTCTATTGTGTTCTCAGCATGTAATTTGTAACAATAAATCAGCAATTAATAGGAAATTAATCCAAAAGTATTTGTTTTTAATGATACTTCTAAAATTATTGTTGATAAGATTAAAATTAATTTTTATTCTTCTTGTGGTCACTAGTTTTGTAACAAAAACAGGTTTGTTTTTACTTTGTTAGATGCTACCATTAGGAATCCAGCCTTCTTCTTGCTTCTGTCTGCAAGACAATCTTGTTGTCAGAACTGCACCATGCAGTCATCTGTCCCAGCCTGGTAACATGTTAAATCATTTTATTATCCTAACAGATTCACCTGCTGCTCCTGGTCACCCTGGTGACAGATACAAGCCATCATGATGACCTCACAAGAAACAAACAAACAAAAAAATATCTGAGTATTTTCCAAGCATCATCTGTTAATATGTGATAATACAAAACCCTTTATTTKACCTTTGTTTGAACAAAGTTCACATATGAATGARGTTATTGTCTTTAAACTATCAAACCACAGACATAACACTAACCTTCATTACACAACAGTTAGCAGCAGATGGAGTTTGTTTGCTCAGTCATCAGGATGAGGAATTTATTCTATGTTGTAAAAATATTTTGCGCATTGAAGATTGTTGTAGGACCTGGAAACAATCACACAACTGTGTTGCGTCTGTTAACAATAGGATGAGATTGTTTTTAGCAGTCAGATCTTAAATAACAAGGGCTGCCTTGCTTTCTTCTTCTCTGGTTTCTGTCCTCTGCTGCTGGGGGCCTTGCTTGTAGAGTATGGAGAACAATGCCACGTGCAGAGACCACCCCACCATGGTGTCAAAGCCCTACTACAGAGTGGACCTCTTCAACAGGCAGATGACAAACGTCCTGCTCACCTCTCTGCTGGTCACAACCATCGAGAACAAAACTGTTGCCCACATTGGCACCTCAACTGGACGTCTGCTGCAGGTACACAACAACGTGAAATCTATGTTCATTTAATAAAAATAAACTCATATTTTGTATTTACTTCAGCGTCTGGGATGGGCTACTGATAACTGATTGCATGTCTGTATTGGCAGCTTGTACTGACCAGGTCCAGCCCTGTTATCTTTGCTAATTACTCCCTGGTAGAGAATCAGAGGGTGTCGTCTATCGCAGCRGTGTACTCTTCAGAGTATCTACTTTTTGTGGTTGGAGACAAGGTACAGTCACGCTCCTTTCACGACACACTTCAAATCAAACGTATTCAGTCAGGATGATTGTCATCCAACACAAAGCTCCAGGGATAAACTTTCCTCCCACTGTTGAAAGACACAACAGTCGGGTCGTATTACAAWTTGAGCTGTCTTTTTGTGTTGCTTTGGAGGGCTGCCTGAGTGTTTATCATTATAGAGTCAGTCTAAATGTCTCTTAGTGGTTGATACTAAATTATTAATTATMTGGATAAGCCTCATTAGRTTTGCTTCKTGGCTAGGCTGCCATGCAAAGGAACAACTATTTTTAGTGGCCAAAGTTATTTGGTCACCATCTTGCTTGGTGCTACATATATACCTGTATATTGTCAACATACCAAAGCCACCCAATGTTAATGTCTTGTGTGTGCTGTGTGGCCAGTCCAAAAACACTGAAGCATTGGACCTAAAAAATGAATGAAGTGAACCTTGACATCTGTCACTCCACACCAATTAGCCASAGTGATAAAACTTTAAAGTCCTGTAATTATTATAACCTGACAGATTATTATGTCTACTTAGTTTAACCAGAGCTCTGCTACTAGAGTTTGTAGTTAATTGCATGTGGCCGAATAAACATAAACTTAAATATAAGTTTTTCCACATAATTCTGGACTTAGTTATTTATAAATGTATAACTGAAAATGTGTCCAGCCTGTACACTATTTCACTTTTGGTTACATATTTTATGCATAAAATACATTAAAAAAAAGGCTAGTAAACTACTTATCATTTAAGAACTCATGTCCCTAATATTGATGATATATTGTCAATTAGGTGCTACAGTACATGTCTACGCTCAGTGCCCATCTTTAAAGTAACTACAGCAGTTTACACAAAGGGTGGGCAATTCTGGTCTTTGAGGGTCGCTATCCCGCATGTTTTARTTGTTTTTCTGCTTCCAACACACTTAATTTGAATGAAAAGGTAATTATAAGGCTTCTGTAGAACTTGAAGAGGTAATTTAATTACTGACTAAGGTGTGTTYGAGCAGGGAAACAAMTAAAACARGCAGGTTATCTCGAGTACCACCCTGACTTAGCGGAAGTGATCACCCTAATGATGTTTCGCTATTTTCAAAGGGAAAAAAAAGAGAAAACGAAACAAAACATATTGTCTTTGAAGTTCATGTTCTGATATTTCAAATAAATAATGACAAAACATTGAGTATTTTTCCTCAGATATTATGGTCTCCTGCCATTCTGGCTGCAACTAAAGGCACCATAGCACCTACCAAGATGGCAGCATACACTCTTGGCTTGTTATCACAGACTGTGCTGTAGTCATTTTGGTGTATTTGTAGTTCAGTAATTTTTCCCTTCTCTTCTGTTTGTCATGATTTATTTGTGAGTTCAAAAACCCAAAGTTAGTTATGTTTTCCCAAAGACAAGCTGCTCCTGAGCTGCTTCAGATTTATTCTTCCATAACTGTCCACATCATCATGTAACATTTACATTTTGCCTTTAACTGATCCTTTTTGTGATGTTGTTTTTTTTTATGGATAGATCGAGTTGTGTTTACGTTGTGGGTATAAAGCAAGGTACTTTAATGATTTTGCTTTGAAATGTACAAACGTATTAAATGAAATAAATTCTAATAATTTACTGTTTAGATGATTCAGGTGCCACAAAGAGGGCCTGGCTGTCAGCACTTTATGACCTGTGCCATGTGCCTGTCGGCCCCAAAGTTCATGGGCTGTGGGTGGTGCTCTGGGGTGTGTTTGTGGGAGAGCGACTGCCAAAGCCACTGGAAAAATGATTCCTGCCCACCTGGGATTACAGMGGTGAGGTTTGGTCTTTAATCCAGGAAAGTTCACTTTAACCTGATCATCACCTGTAGGTGATACAGAAGTATTTGTTTTTTGATTGCAGTTCTTTCCACCAACGGCTCCCCCTGATGGTCAAACAGAGCTGACGTTGTGTGGATGGGAGTTTCAGTCGCCTTTACGACCTTCTATCACCTCCAGAACCCACCAGGTTCGACTGGGGCAGACCACCTGCTCTGTGATTCCACTCAAAAGCAACAACACACAGTGAGTAATGTCACCAAGTGGAGCCTGTTTATACTTCAGTATTTCCTGTTGAATGTCTACAAAATACTCTAAAAACATCAAATAAAAGTTATTTTTATTGGAGTGTAAGCAGGAAATATAATTTTATTGTAATGTGAAGTTCAATGACTGTGCAGTACAACCTGTAATTCAAAATACATTTGACATTAAATGGTGTAATTTTTGGATGACATCACTGAAACAGGAGACTGACAGAAAAACACAGATTTATTTGACAACAACCCACGTGTGCATTAACTAATTACACAACATTCTGTTGCTACGACCCAGCTCAGCCAGGGAAAGGGAAGGTCACCAGGTGTAAGTTGGTTTAAACATAAACAGTGATTTATTGTGGTCTGTTTTAAAATCAAAGAACAAAATTTTACAAAAGGAGGGTACTTCCAAAAATAAAACTTTTCCAAAATGTTGGGTTTTTCTTATTTGCAACGAAATAAAAGATAACAACGAAGGTAGGGTAGTGCTGTATATATATACATATATATATATATATACATACATATATATATACATATAT